CTCTGACTCTGACACAGAGAATTCTGATTTTGTCAAAACTATCAAGAGCAACCCAGATTCCTTCTCCAAACTCATGAGTATGTTAGGGATGAAACAGATGGAAACTTAAGGTGCAACCACTGCATTTTATTATGGTACCTGACTGCAGGCCAGGCCAGGAGCAGAAACCACCTGAGGGCCTTACCTGAACATCACTGAAGTAACAGTGAGTGGTGTGAGATCTGGGGTCCCTTCTGGGGCTCTCCAGAAGATATTCTGTTACCCAGAGGCTAGAAAGTAGTAAGGACCAAACTGGTAGTGCAAGGTTTACATTAAAATTGGGGAGTTAGGTCGCAAGGAGATAGAGTCAAGAGGGTTTATCTCTGATTAAAAAGTGGATGGGACATAGGAGGACACACCGGGCAAAGGAGTAAGGGTACTCAGTGATGGGGTCATGATCTCCAATGGGAAAGCTCAAGTCTCCACGAAGAGGCAGGGCAAAGGAGGTTTCTAGGAAGACCCTCCTTTTGCCAGCTCCAGGGCAATCACCTCTGATCATTCTCCCCTGAAACAATTCTGTCGTTGGCACCAACCAGGTCCCTTGGCACCTCGCCCATGTGTAGAGCATCCTTCTCCAGCACCTTCCCTCCCTGCAGCTGTAACATCATTCTCCCTTATCTCTCCAAAGCCTTTCATTAATCATCCATCAGCCCAGCCTGGTCAGCAGAGATGCCATTTCCTTCTGGAAGAACCTCTGTCCATTCAGTCATTACTGGAAGCGCACAAATTGCCACACACATTTTCATTTGTTCAAGGCGGTTGTTTTTATGAGCAGCGGTGAAAAAAATTCCATTACGTCAAAGTTAATTCCTCTGCAGCACATCAATAGACGCTCCTCGGAGGCACTGCACTAGCGGGCTGCAATCAGCAGCTCAGAGGGCTGACTGGATTGCACCTCCGGCGATGCGTTCACTGAGAGAACGACAGTAATGACCAATCCTCCTATTAACCTGGGACTGCCTCATCTGGATGAGCCTCAAAATGCGTCACTACCTACTTAGGTTCCGCTCATCTGTCAGCTAGAGGAGAGTGCCATTCACTCCCCCGGCCAGCCAGCCAGCCTGCTCGAGCCTCCATTTGAGGCCAGGGAAATGCGGCCTGCGGGACAACTCACACACAGCTAATCAGCGCTGACTCCTTCCTCTTGCCCATAAATCTGGTCTTACAGGAATTTGATTTGGTCGGGATCTCACAACTGCTTCCCCCAGGCAGAGGCAGCTGGCAGGTTCCCCTGAGGGAACCATTCTGGCCCCAAGGAAGGGAAGCAGGTGTGGATCCACATCAGCTAACAGCAACCCAGGAGCCTTTGGGCTGCTCTGCAGCGATCCCGCAAAATGCTCGGGGCTGCTATGGGATTGGCATCAAGGATGTCCTGAGGAAGCAAATATAGCCTCAGGGAGTGAGAAGCCAGAATGTGCTGGACCCCAGGGGTTCAGGGTGGGTTCGGGGGAGCCATGGGGAAGGACAGAGCTGAGCAGCTCATCCTTGTGCATGAAGGAGGAAATGTTGCGGGAGATGCTTGCTTCATGTTGTGATGTCAGGAGCTCCAAGAAAGTACCCCTCCCTTCCCCACAATAATACATTCACTGGTAGGTAATGGAACTTCTTTAACAGGTGCAAGGTCAGCCAATCCTCAACGAAGAACCAAATCCAATATGCAGTTGTCCTGAGATGCAACTCGTCACTCCGGTCAATGGAAGTTTTTGTTGAGAGATGAGAAAGGAAAAGTGGAGGGTCACTGGGAATCTGGTGATGGGGGAGATAAGGGGCTGCAGAGGGGGAGCTATGGCCACCTCATCTATTCCCCATAAGGGGACAGGTGTCCTACTGGGTGGAGGAATCAGGGAGTTCCAAAGAGCAAAACTTTCTTTATTGCTAGCTGAGTTCAGACATTAGACTGAGGAGGTAGTACCAAGAACCTTCTCCCTCCTGGTCATTTTACTCCATGCCTGAAGGAGACTCCAGCATCACTCTACACTGGAGTAAAGAGTAGAATACAGCAGGCTAATGGATGTTTTTAAGGACGAATGACTTAGATCTGTCAAAGAAAAAACAACTGTGAGGAAAATAATATTGTGACCTTGTTCTAGGCAATCATTTACCAATGACTGGGTGAAGTCACTGGATTTTCGCCTCCATATTTTTCTCTAGAAACTTGCATAAGGGGGTCATCCAGTCAGTACCTGTGGCCTTTAAGCCTTTAAGTGAGTCAGGAACAACAGAAGGTGGGGCTGTTGCTGAAAGGGGATCACATGAACCTTGAGAAACTTGGTAGGAAAATTCAGTTGGCCAGAATCCAAGAGATAGTTCTGGGGGTACTGAGATAGTTTGAAACCAGGCCATTTGTGGTCATTCCCGGCAACATTAAAATTGAAAGTGAATCCTGAGGTGCCTGGGCTCTGAAATCCAGCAACCAAGAGACTGTTTCCCAGAGGCTGTAGGATTTTAGAAGCTCCTTAAGCAATTTGTGATGTTGGGGATTGGGGTGGAGTTTCCATGTCTAAATCACACCTCTCACCCTGTCCCTCTGGAATTCTCAACAGAAGGAGAGTTTTCACAAGTAACAAGAGTTCTAAGGAAAACAAATCACACTTCAATTTATAAACTGTGAAAGTGCTTAAGAGCCCCATTACATAAGACCTCATGGGTGAAATGGAATCGGAGCTCGGGGTCCAGGCTACCCACCTGCTCCCTGCATAGTCGGTGACTCTTACCTGCTTGTGCATGGCCTTGGGAATGCAAAGGTAGAATTTCTGGATTCTACTTGAAAAGGACTGGTCATTCTATCTCAAGAGTCCCAATCAATGCTGGTACTGATTGGGCCTCTTAAAATAGATGCATTGGTTAAGTCATTTTTGGCAGAGGGTAGAAGTTGGGGTGCAGAGATAGGAAGAGAGATGAAGACAATTTTTTTAATAATTATATCTTGAGAACATTGATCTTTTTTAAATTTATTTGCATAGAAGGAAGATGGGTGTAGGCTAGAGGTTTGGGGGGGTGAGTAGGGGAAGAGGATTCACCAGAGACAGAGTGGGGACCAGAACAGTCGCATTTATTGAAATACACTGCTAAGGGGTGCAGCAGGGGGAACAGGAGAGGTCTGCTGCGCCATATGTAGGTTAGCTCCCTGGCCCAGGATTAGGCAGTAGCGGTGTAGCACTAAGACTTAACCCCTAGGCCACCAGGGAGGCCCCTGAAGAACAACTTCAAGTACATACAAATACTTGCCCTATACAAGGAGAGGGCTTCATTTGCCGCCCTTGATTAAGAGAAATTGAAATGTGAGGAGAGAACACAAAAGTCCTACAAACACAAGTTTGGAAGAATATCTGTATAACCAGTGATTGCTTTACCAGGAAGCTCCTTTCCTAGGAGATGTAGGAAGCCTGCACATCTACCTAGGGGGCCCATATGTTATAAGATTGCTTCTTAATTCCCCAGAAAGTCCCTGGTGGCACAGTAGGGTAATAATCCATGGTACAGGTTACAAAGCACGACCAACTAAGACTCCCTGCAGAGCGGGGCCTGTGAAGACTTTGAGGACGCACTGTAAGTACGCAGAGAAAGGCTACGTCCAGATCACTTAGCAAGTGGGCCCTAATCATCAGGACTTAAATAAATTATGCCAATGTGGATGGTGTCAAGCAGCTATTTAATGCATCCATAGTATTGAGGCATGGTTGGGTGCTTCCAGCCACTGACTCAGGAGAAATTGATGCCCATAGATGATGCTGAGTACCCAGAAAAGGTTTAAGGGCTTGGCTCATTGACCAGCTGTCTGCAAATGGGAGTGTCCTTGGAAGGCGTGCTCTGCCCTCTGTGTCGGCCACCACAGAAGTAAGGATTAGTTGAGCAACACAAAGGCTGGCATCTGCCACCTTTCTGCCTGTGCCCTTCTTGGAATATAATAATGAAAGCAGCCTCCTTGTATGTATTGAATGGCAAGACGGGAGAATGCCACAAGGCTTTAAGTGATATTTTTGATAAAAATAAAAATAACTTAAGCACAGATAGGAAACAAAACTTAGGAGGGAAAAGGGAAAGAATGAGAGAACTTAACCCCAATGACCCAAAAGTTGGATCCTTCCTTCTATAGCCTTCAAAGGTGTATCAAGGCTACTTTGCAGGGCAGGAGGAGGGGAATCAGAGTTTCACACTTGCTGCAATCACAACCTTTCAACTCAAGTTTTATATATTGGTAACAAACAGAGCAAAGAAATAGACAAATCTAAACCAAAACAAACCCCAGACAGCTGTCTGTAGAACTGAGGCTACCAGAGGGAAGGGCATGGGAAGGAGCCCAATGGATTGTGATGGAAGATTCTGGGTGCCTTGGTGGTGGGCATGGTGTGGTCACATGCAGCTAAAGTTAAGATCCTATGCCTCTGAATTATATAGTGTTGTAAACCAAAGTTATCTCAATTAAAAAAATATAATTTTTTCCCAAAGTTTCATATATTGGAATTATATCTCAAATTTCGTTTGGCTAAAAAGGAAAGACTTCTGACTTAAAAAAAAATAAAATAAAATTTAAAAAAAGATCAAATACCACCATTCTAGAGAGGAGTAAAAATTCCTAATAGAACATGAAACAGAACTCTTGGCTTCCAGCATACCCAATTACATAAATGGACTCAAGCATAACTGGAATTGAAATTGCTAGCTGCTGTCTGATGCTCCTCCTTCCCATGGTTCAACAATCCCAAGATCCTGGGTATAAAGGAGAGAGCCATCATCACAGAAGTGAGAGTCTGAGATTCAGAGGTTTGGTTCTTCTTGTGCTGTGGATGTCTCCTGTGGGAATCACCTAATCTCTAAGCCTCTGTTTTCCAGACTGTCAAAGGACGTGATGGTTCACACTTTCTCTCCCTCATGGGGTTGTAGAGAGAATTGATGTGAAAGAACTCTGTCCAGTGAAAGAGAATTATGCAAATCTACATTTTTTTCTGATTATCTTGCAGTGTCTGTTCATTTCCCAGTGCACGTGTCCATCAATGAATTACTTGTTCAAGTCAACCAAAACTTCTGCCACCCACAGGTAGGCAGGGGTGGGTGGATGGTCTAGAATCCAAAGACTGGGAAAGGAGTTGCATGGAAGTCACAGGACAAAGAATTCCAGGATCCCAGTGTGGCTCTAATGACCACATCCCCTTCTTAATGCCTCCTGGCCAGGGCAACCACCCGTCACCAGGCTCCAGGGGCAGCAGTGACATGCCATTCTTTTTTGTGTTGCTCTGCCCCAGGTACATGCCCTAGAGACAAGCAAGAGCCCCGAGGGTGGACAATGGCTGCAACCTGTCCTTTCTGCTGTGACACCCATGCCTTGACCAAGCATAGGAAAGAATGAATTATACAGACAGAAGGCAGGACAGCCCAATGACTGGGCTGAGACTATTGGCTGTGAGGTTCCAGAATCATCATTTCTGCTGTGGTCAGAAAGGAGTGGAAGAAACCGGACATTGCTGTTCTGTGTTTTCACCAAGGGAGAAAAAGCCACACTTAATTCCTTTCTATGCAAATACCAAGGGCTCAGGGATCTTCTGGCTTGGAAAGTGCAGCAAGGACCCCCTCAAGTCTCTCAACAATTCCTTAAGCTTCAGAAACTCCCCACTGGGTTCTCAAACCCCATGGTCTGCCAGTACTCCCTACTGCTCCACAGCAGCTGCAGAGTTAACCATGAAAAAGCCACCAAATGCTGCTCACAGAGGCTGTTTTCACAGCATAATTAAACCCAGGCACAAACACAAGGCACAACCTTAGCATGGAGATGTGCATGTGGCACTTTTCAGTGCTGTGCCTCGGGCGTCTGTGCATCTTATAAATCACTGTCCTCATCTTATTCAATGGCAATGAGAAGTAAACATGTTCTCAGGAAGAACCAATCTCCACATTGTAAAACTGTAACCAGATCACTGAAGAGCAAGCAGGATAACATTAAAGTACAAAAACACAGATTGCACAGAAAAAGCTCGGCGGTCCCTTGCAGAAGAGGCAGGAGTGACGAGGGACCTGGTAACAGGGAACCATGAAGACAGGAACAATCGGTCAGAATGCATCCCTCATTATACTTGAATTTTACCTACTGCCGTGCCATTTTCCAAGCCCTGTCATATCATTCTTGAGTTTGATGCTCACAGAACCCATAGAAACAACAATGACGTCCTGCCACTTGACTGCTGGGCAGAATGAAGGCCAGCGGGGTTGCCTGACTTGCTACAGTCACGCAGCTGCTGAGTGACAGAGCTGGGCCATAAACCCAGGTCTCCAGGCTTCAGCCTCAGTGCTTCCTGTTTTGCAAACCCTGTTATTAGGAGAGCTAAGTAAGAGCCACTAAATATCTTGCAAGAAGCATTAAGTTGTCAAGCTTCTCAAAATAGACAGTTCAGAAATAGTCTGGCCCAAGTCAAAGGTCAAGAAATGAGGCATCACGATGCTAGAAGGGCACCCCTCAACATCTGTATGATGCAAATCCACCTTGAGTCTCTTCCTCATCACCTATTTTCCAAATAAACACACTGGGATATTGAGGTGCTGGAGAATGGCACAAAGTGAAGAAAATCCCAAGGTTTTCCCACTACTGGTTTCACTGTCAATGAAAAGTATGACTGAGTACCAGCCACTAGAGTCCCCTGGGAAGACGGGGGGAGAAGGTCAGCAGAAAAAAACAGTCCTGCCCTGGACCAGCAGGTGGAAACAGAGCCCCCATGCAAACACACATAATCGGAGTCAAGGTCACTTCCCCTTTCTTCTGAGGACTCTGATAGTGCCATTCCTACAACATGCACTTCTCATAGACCCTTGCTTTAATTCTTAAGAGTCATGGCTTATTTTAAAGCCAGAATTTAACCCATCTCCAAAGATCCATTTTAAAAGCCTCGGCACCAATTTTGAGAGTGAATAGCGCCCAAGTCCACACAAGCTTCCTTCCATCTGGGGCAAGGGTTTTGTTTTCCGTTCTGTGTCTTTGCCTGGAATCACAAGAAGCTCACAGAAAGAAGCAGTGTTCACGGAACACAAGCATGAAGCATGGCCTTTATTTTCCAATTCACTATCCCAGCATTCAGGGAAATCAAAAGCATAGCTCTGCAGATGCCAGGCTCATTAATGAAATGGGCTTTACACCCAAAAGATGAATGTGCCATCAAGAATCTGAGACAACACATTTTGTGGTGATAACACTCTCCTGGATGATGAATCAGCAGCTGCACTGGTGGCCGCATGCATTTGCTTTCAGAAATGCTAATACCGAGGACTCTCCTGGTTACAATCTGGGGGATCCTTTCCAATTCTCAACAAGTACCACTCTTTGGTTTGGGGTAAAACACAGCCTAAGCCTTGTCAAGGAAGCTTCAGACCACCCAGCCAAGCACTGAAAGCCAGAGATTGTCAGCCCAGTCTGGAAAGAGGCACGGGGTCCTGCTCTAGGAACACAGCTCGTGATCCCCCAGGGTAGCTCCAGCCAGGAGCACTCACTCCTGAGGTGGAGCGAGGCTAATTAAGTTGCCAGATGGACCCACCATGCTAAACAATTAACGGGCTGGTTTTCACCCTCTCAGTCCCAAATGCTCCCAACCTTCCCTGGAATGTCTGGCAGCCCCTGGAAAGAGAAGGGAGGGGGCAGAAGGCTTGTTAAGGATTGGGAACTGTAGTGTTCTCTCACTGCAGGCTCTCAGTGCTGTTGACATGCTGCCATGGATTGTTCTTTGTTATGCAGATATATTGGTTGGCTAGGCTTCCAGAATAAACATCACAAGCTGGATGACTTAAAACAACAATGCATTCTCTCATGGTTCTGGGGGTCCAAAGTCCAAAAGCAAGGCATCCTCAGGGTTGGCTCTTTCTACGGGCCCTACCGGAAATCTGTTCCAGGATTTCTCCTAGCTCTGGTGACACCAGCAATCCTTGGTGTTTCTTGGCTTCCTGGGCTTCCTGATGAGTCAGCCCAGGTGAAAGAAATGCTGAGCTGGTAGATCGAGTGGCCCCAAGTCCTATTTGAACAGGTGGACTGAATCATGGACTGGTCAGCCTTGACCAAATTGGCCCACCAGACTGATCATGAGGCGCCATGCTGGACAAAAAGTTGTAGATCCTGACTAATGATTATCTCACAATTTCCAGGTGGGAGAAAGGCGAGAGCCCCCAGGCACAGTTGGAATGTCACCAACCTGCAGAAGCCCAACCCAGAACAAGCCAGACCTACCCTTTACATACCTCCCTATAACCCCTTTCCAGGAGGCAGCTTACATTTTCTTTCCCAAACTGGCTCCCTCACACAGGAGATTCTCGAATACAGCCTTGCCTGGTCCAACTACACTTGGCACTCTCTGGTGAATTCTTTTCCTAGAGGCAAAGGACCCGCTCTTTCAGGTCAGGGCCTGCAACCCGGATGCATGAGACCAACCCTGGTTCCTGCTTCCAACTCCATGGTTCTCTCTGTCTTCACGGGGTCATCTTCTTAGAAGGACACCAGTCACACTGGATTGAGGGGTCCACTTATAACAGTAGGACATTATGTTAATTAATCACATATATAATGGCCCCTTTTCCAAATAAAGCCACATTCTGAGGTACTAGAGGTTTATGACGTCAATGTGTCTTTTGGAAGAAGACAATTTGACCCAAAAGAGGTGGTGACCTGTGCGCTGCAGTGTCCTGGCGTCTACCCAGTAGACAGTGTCACCACATTCCCAGTTGTTGACAGTCAAAAATTTCTGCAGACATTGTCAAATGTCCCCTGGGAGTAAAACTGCCTCTGGTTGAGGAACACTGTCAAGGCTTGAAATACATGTGCCGTGACCTTGAACAATTGGGTTAAACTCACTGGTCTTTGCTGTTCTCACCTGCCTCATAGAGTTGAAGTGTTGTTGAGGATAAAATGAGCTAGTAGAAAAGCAGCTGCTGCATATAGGACCCAGTCAGTGACAGTGAGTGAATGGGGGTGGTCTCCCTTGTGGACATCTCCAGGGGTCTCTTGACTGGGCTGATAGTGAACTCTGCCCTTGTCCCTGAGAACTCCCAAAGGCAAAAGAGCTTTCCAGATCTTCTCTATATCCTTGTCTGGGGGTAGAAAGTCTCCTACAGCCAATGCCCTCCCAGCAGCTGTGAGTGCAAGGCCAAAGCTGCAGATAGCCATATATCACAGGCAGGCAAGGAGAAGCTCTGAATATGACCTGAATGTAAATGTGGCTGCATTGCACCATGGCCAGCATCACCCCAAGAAAATGCATAGAAAATCTACCCAAGGACCCAGGGACAGGGAAGAAGAATCCCACTCTTACACATTGGTTATGGGGCAACCTTAAATGCCTTACCTCCCTTGCGTGACAAGATAATCTGTGATTCCAAGTTGAAACAACAAAAAGTTGCCATACAACATATAGCAATGAACTCTGATGAGTTTTTGTCCCAATGCCCTCATCAGAGTTGGAGGATAAAAGCTGCATCATACTTAAGTATCTATCTCATTGCCTCAAAAAAAAAAAAAAAAAGCCATGTCACATGGTGAAGGACACTAACAATATATGTTTATTAAATGTGGCACTCTTACGTCCCCATGCTCTTCAATCTCCAAAATGGCATTTTCTTTAAAGTTTTCATACAAAAAATGCAAGAAGTAGATTAGGAACAATCCACACCTATGAATCTCAGGAAATCCCTCATTTTTTCCCCAGATTTCCCCTCATTAAGTAATTTCTGGGCATTCCCAGGGAATCTGCTCCAATGGGCAGGTTACTCTTCCATCAACCATCCTCCAGATTACCTCTTGCCATCTATCAACTGGCCTGCTGTTGCTCGCTCCATATAACTTCAACTCAAGTGTGACCCCTACCCCAAGGAGTTCCCTGAGTGCTGCTGGTGCAGGTGTTCAGGGGACCACACTTTGAGAATCAGTGCATGTAAGTAGCAGATGTATTATTTTACTGGTGGCTTAATTTTGTTGAAAGCGGTGTTTGAAAATTCCATTCTAGCTCACAGAATTATAAATCTGGCGTTTAGGTTATTAAGGTAAACCTTTCACCTAACTAAACGCTGGAGATGTTTGTCTTTGAGACAGCAGGGGAGGAGAAGCGGAATCTTCCCTTTATTCCTGAGATGCTGAAAAAAACAAGTCCTTTTTCCACATGATAATGCCCTTAAGGAAGACGGCAGCAAGACTAAGGGGACAGACAGACAGTGCCTCTTAAACCCAGCAAAGAGATGGGGGAAGAGATCATCTCTATTATGTTGCCATCTACAAAAGTTAAGGTTTTGAGTCTGGGGTACAGGAAGCTCAGATTTACAATGATACCAACAAGAAGGATTATGAACTTAATAAAATGTTAAAATATTCTTCTTTGTGGGGTGGGGGCATGAAACTTCCAGGACCACTTTCTATTCTGGGCCTGCCTGGCTCATTACAGTGATCAATAGGTCCCTAAATGTCATCATCTAAAAAGGGCAGTTGTTGGGAAAGCTCATAATTCATTCCACAATGAATCCCCTACTCCCTTTGCTGGACTTGTCCTGCATGGAAAGTAATCCCCTTCCTCTGAGAGTCACATCACTCTCCATTCAGAAAGATTCCAAGGAAAGGGGCAACAAAGTTTACCAACCATGGGGAAGAAGAGAGGCAATATATTTTTGCACATACATATGGTTTCTATAATAGTTTTTTTTTTTTTTTAAATTGACTTAAGCCTAGCTCTGATAGAGGCGGCTTGATTGAGATGACAGGCCAGAGACCCCCACCTCTGTCCCCAGGAGGGGGAGTGAGTGCCTGGGCCTGATTTGTGGCCCTGAAGGGGGCCTGTGCTGGGTGAGGTGATTTTGACACACTTCTGCTTTGTGACCAACCTTCTCTCGAGTGACTATTCCCACACACAAATCAGCTTCATCTGTTTCAAACTGGGTGGTAATCTGGAATCCATAAATAATGAGTATCTCAGGAAAAAAATTACCTTCCTAAAATAGAAGCCAGAAATTTGTACCCACAAATCAGAGCCATCCTGGCAGCCTGTGGGATCTCCCTCCAAAGAACACGGCAGCCATGACGACCTCTACAGCCACCAAGGCACACACCAAAACCTAAGGTACAATCTCATTAAAACCCTCTCAACTGGACAGTATGTACTAATGGGATGCTCTTCTCTCTGGTCTCCCTACATCTACCAAGGTCTGAGTGGAGATGTGGCTGAGGGAACCCAGCCTCAGCATGTTGAGAGAAAGCAAGTCAAAACCCTGAGCAGGCTTGTCCCAGCAACCCTCCTGGGATTCTGCCTCAGTGCAACATAAGGCCACTAGCTCTCTGCACCTGTGGCCTCTGCAGGCCCCTAAAGGAGACCAGAACACCCCCAAAGAAATGTTTTGGCAAAAGAAATGTTTGGCAAAAAAAAATGTTTTGCCAAAGAAATGTTTGGCAAAAGTGACTTTTCTAACTCAGAAAACTCCTGGCATTTCCCATCCTGCTTTCTGCACACCATTCACACCAACATCTTCCAGTCCCTGAACACACCCAGCCCCGAGGTTTCATTCTCCTTTCTCTGCTCTTTCCTCCAGAGCCACACGTGAGTGCCTCCTCCTCATCCTGTAGCTACTATCCTTTCCAGAGAGGCCGCCCCTCCCGCCCTCACCCCACTGCCCCGTCTTGTTCCGAAGCACATGTACCCCTTGCCAGGCCGTGCATTTGGTTCTTTACCTGTGTGCCCATAAACATTTCAGCTTCCCCTCTAGAGAAAATTACAGCAAGAGAACACTTTACGGGGCTCATTTGCCACTCACCCCAGAGACTGGTGACTGGCAAGTGTTCGATAAATATTGGCTGAACAAATGAATGAACCCTGAGGTGGCATTTACTCGCTAGCTTTCCATGTCTGTCACCTTTACTACCCACCCCCCACATGAGCCCAGTGTAGAGCCTGCCTCTTTCTGGGTGTTGTAATGAGGGCATTACTGTTGACTCTTGCCACTGTTTACACTGTTTCAAAGCAAAAAGAAATGAGACTCAAAAGAACATGAGCAGTATCATCTAATTCTGCAGAGACTTTGGTTGAATAAAAGTAGGAAAGAGACAGCCTCCCCAGACCAGAATCCTTCCAACACGCTGGTTCTGATCCAGCCTCAGGGACCATTTTCCACTACACTAGAATGAACTATGGACAGAAGCAGGAGGAACACAATGCCCCATCATAGCTAGCTAGCTGGGTGAAGCCTCTCTTGTCTCTCCCAGGGGACTTCTTAGCAAGACATGTTTAGAATCTAAAGCCAAAGCTGTGTTTAATTGAGACAAAGCCAAAGCACTGGATTCCACATGACTCCATATGACCCCACAGCACAGGTCTAAAGCATTAAGCAAACTCTTTCGGGGGTGTCCTGTGTCACCTCTTCTCTGGCCCATGAGTCCTCCTCAGGTTGCAATTTGGGGGAGTCACTGTCTAACCTCTCTTATCACGGAGGCTGAGCTCTCTAGACCAGCTTCTCCCATCGAAGTGGGGCCCTGTGCTGCTGAGTTGCACGTCTACTCACCTTTGCCTTCAGGTTGAAATCCTTCTTCTCAGGCAGTGGTTACGTAGCAACTGGGACAGAACCCCCATCACTGGACATCCTTGGATCAGACCTCGTGGCCTCTTCCCAGCTCAGGCTGTGTGCTATATATCCTCAGTGCCCTTGGTCTGTCATTGAACCCACACTTCTCCTTAGTAATAAAGCCTCAAATCTGCCCTGATTCTTCCCTCCCTTTAACCCTCCATCCATCCACTCTACTCCACCTGACCCTCATACCAACAGGAATATTCCACTCATATTAGAAAAATCAGGTTCTTTTCAGACCATATA